CAAATTCGTCACCAACAAGAGACTTTTCTGACATCTTGGCAACAGTTTCATCGTCAAAAAAAGAATTTTCTGTCGTCATAGTAACATCGGTTGTCTTGGCAACAGTTTCGTCATCAAGAGGCTTTTCTATAATTTCGGAATCAAGGCCGTGGTTTTCTTTGGTATCCTCTTCAGTAGTAGACTTCGCAACTGTGGGAGGCCCTTTCACATCATTCAAAATATTCTCCATGGATTTCGATATCTTTTTCTTGGGCGGTTTTTGTGCACCGTTCTTACTGCTTGCAAGGTTTTCAGACGATTTAGTCTTAATTTGTTTATGATCTTTGGATGGTTTTGTTGGTGTTTTTGTTGAGAGCTTTGYCTTGTCGTTCGGAGATCGTTTTTCCGTTGATACAGGAATCTTGCTGGTTTTTGRTCTGACTCCTGATGGACTGATTTTTCTGTCTTTTTTGCTATTTTGTTGATTGGTCGCTGTTGGACGTGTTTGGGAGGTTTTCCTTGTAGCTGTAGAGGATGGGCCATTGTCCTTAAAAAAGACAAAAACAGGTATTACAAACAAGGAATAAGAAGGAATTGAGAACTAAAACTGGTCTGTGGAAATTGAAAAAATTTTGTTGAAAATGTTCCGAATTGCCTATGATTACGCCTAAAGGATATGCAATCTGACTGGCGTGTTCAGATGAAAAAATAAATCATTATATAGCATTGTATTCTTTAAATAGTTTGTCTCTTTTTATCAATGCAAAAGACAGGGATCTGAAAACATGCCAGCAGATAGTTGACTGACACAGACCATTCTTACCTCAGTGGATATCACCATTTGTATCAAGGGAGGAGAGGCTCGTAAGAAGTCTATGGCTTGCTGCTGGGTGGCACCAATCAAACTATGCTTGTTAATCCACAATAGCTCATCCCCAACTTTAAGACGACCATCCCTGTAGSGACAKCRGTAAATTGGATATGACATATGKTGAGCATATTGAGGCTGCACAAAAGAACCCCCAAAAAATTGCACAAAAAATTGTTTACAGAAGTTGTGGATGCTGYAGTTTCACATTCCTTCCGGTTGTSAGATCCCAGAGTGCTACTCACCCTTCACATTCTCAGCAGGGGGTAGAAATAAGGGAGGGCTGAGAAGCTCACATTGAGAGAGTTTCATTCCTTCGCGTTTTATATGTTTTATGACAGTTTCAGTTGATTTCACCCCCTTGTAAAACTGACCTTAAATGCACCCCCCTGAACGTAATCATGCCCATAGGATTGTTTGTCTGTCCTTAATGTTCATCACACCTTTCTGCTGCACCATCACTATTAATATCAGTAACATATATCCCTGTTGTATCATTAATGTCAACATTACTGCACCCCCCTGAACATGATCATGTCTATAAAATTGTCTGTCTGTCCTTAATGTTCACCATACCTTTCAGCTGCACCACTACTGTTAACATGAGTCACAAATATCCCTGTTGTACCAGTAATGTCAACATTACTGCACCCCCCTGAACATGATCATGTCTATAAAATTGTCTGTCTGTCCTTAATGTTCATCATACCTTTCAGCTGCACCACCACTGTTAACATGAGTCACAAATATCCCTGTTGTACCATTAATGTCATCATTACGCTGTGCTATTTGTATACCAAGTCCTCTATTGTCCTTCAGTATGTGGATTTTCTTGGTGACGTGACTCTATAAAATCAGTATAGTTCATATATAGAATCTCAAATTATCACATAACATAAGAATAAAAAGAGAGCTATGCAGCATAAGCATAGCCATTGTTCTTATACGTCATAAGCAAAAAAGATGAACCATAAAAATGTGTTTTGACAAGATGTGAGCACAAAATTTGACCACAGAAACATAAGAGAGTATCTTAAACACTTGTGGCTGTGATTATGTTTATTGCTATGCTTATGCATTGATGAAAGGTGTTCATATTGTATTCTCTTTATGTCAATGTCTATGCTTATCATTATGCTTTTGTTTATGTCCTGTAAGAACTGCGTCATTCATTATAGGTCATACATTTCATCAAATATTATAACCTAGTCGTTCTTCACCACCTGTACCTCATGGTAACATTGACATATATGCATTAAAAACATTGTAAATTCATCACCTGCTCCAATGTAGAATGAGCATCCCCATTCACCATGGCAACAGAGCTGATGTCACGCGAAACTTTAATGACCAATTTCCCACTGCGCAGTGCACTACTTAAGTACAATCTGAGAAAAATTATTGAATAATTAATAAACTTTAAAATATGTATGATTGCATGACAGAAAAAATGAATTTAAATCAAGAATATTATGACACAAGTAGTTATTTTTGTGAAGTGTAAAAGAGATTGTTATCGTTTAGTAAAAGGGTATGAATGCAAAAAGTTGTGAAAGAGCACATGAAATATTTAACAATTTGGTTAAAAGGAACCAATCATGCAAACAGCTAATGCTAATAAACTGTACAAAATGAAAACATTTTAAATCATTTATCGCTTTTTAAGTACCAATATTTAACGCTGATTTTGGTGCAAAGTAAAACAAGTATATAAAACAATACGAAAATATGCTAATATGACGAAAATACCACTCAACTACAATATTTTTCTTCTAATCTGTAAAAATTACGAACATGGAATCATTTCAATGTCAAACGAATCAACACAAATTCATTTACGACATTTGAAGCCAGTTCAGTCACAAAACCGACTGTTTTCAAACTATTTCAGCAGGGAACCTAATCCTTCACTTATTAAACTCCATTTTATAGTTACCAATGAAGTAAAAACCTACCTTGCCCTCTCCAAACTTGCTTTGGTAAGGTCTCTTCCATTTAGTTCTAAAAGTTTGTCCCCAACTTTTAGACGATTGTCTATCGAAGCCGGACTATTGGGTATAATTCTAGCTATATGAGCGCACCCTAAAGAAACTTTCGCCTTCCCTGGAGTCTTGTTTGAAGTCTTGTTGTCCAAAACAACTCCAAAGTTCAACGGACATTTCTCAAATTCAAGAGTTAATGACTCAGAAACTGGTTGTGACGGACGCCGTCTTTTATAATTGTTATTTATATTGGTTGTCGATGGAATTGTGTCCATTGCCATTCCAGCTTTTTGAAGTACATCGTCTCCTATCCCATTATTTTGTGAAAATATAACATTGTTACTGTCAACAGACATTACTCGATCTCCCTCGCGACTAGTGCAATGTTTGGCAGCATTAAACACAACCTGACAACTATTTAACGTGCGCTATGGAACCATAATCACTACGGGACATTCCAACAGGCCAAGGTCTAGATAGATAAAATGGAACTCCATATTATCGTATTTCTAGTTTTCTTCACTTTGTAAGCTACCTTGGAAGTAAGAGAACTTCATAACTGATAAACCACATCACATTTACCACATCGCACCAAAGTAGTAGCGACTCGTTCTAGTAGTTGTTTGCTTTGAAATCTTTGACCGACTTGTCACATTCAATAATGCGTGACGTAACCTCGGCAAACCTTACATTTTTACACACCCCCACCCCCACCCCCTAAGGATAGGTACTTCTTCCTAAAATTTGTTTCAAAGTTCCAAAATACAGTCGGTTTACAGTCGGTTTACATAGCCTATATTGGACCATATAGCCACCTAATACCTAAAAAAGAATTTCAATCACTTCTCGAAAAATGCTTTCAAGTGATTTTGACAGATTTTATCTCAAGTTATCCTACTTCTACATGTAACATGGACTCTGTATTGTATGCCTTGCACATTTTTCACTGAAACTGCATCAAATTTAAACCCTACAAGTTTCATTGAGATATGCAARGACATGTAGAGTGGGACATTAACCACACCACAGGTAACCCAAATAGTGAAAATTCAAAATAAAGATCATAGAACAAGGTGAGATTTTTTATTATTTTTTACACTGCTGCATCTGACATTTATTCTCGATTCTTCATCTTTTCTCTGGCCATCTTCTTYTTAGAGACTTTCTTGACCTCCACCTCGTCCTCGGCACGTGGGACAACTTGTTCACGTTCAGATAGGATCAGTTCAACATGGCATGGAGAACTCATGTAGGCTAAACAGAGGTGACAGTTGATTATTAAACTGCACAATTTCCTTGTACATTAAAGTGCAAGTACTACAATGCATTTCTATATAAAAAAGTTTGATGGGATAAAGGAGTCAAGTCTTCTTTAGTTATCTCTGCCATTTTGAAAGGTAACTATGCCTTTTCATCAAAGTGAGGTAGTGTTGAGTGTGCAATGATAGATAGTTGTGAATAATTGTCTATAGGTATGTGAGGTTCCCTCCTTGCCTGCTCACAGGTTGTAGGCTTCAAAACAAAGGCATAGATACCTTTCAAGATGGCACAGGGAACCATCAAGACTATGATAACAAAACTCTTTGTCTTGCATTGCATTATTAGTGCAATTCTGTGCAACTTCTTACAAAGTGATGGCATTGTAATCTAGAGTGATTGCACTTCAGTGACCGCACTTAAACTGTGCAATTGTACAAAATCTAAGTAGTATTAATTTGTACTAAAAGTGGACCTGAAGCAAGACGGTATTGAATGCTCATTTGTGTCAATTCAATTTAATTTGCTGCATGCATGATTAACTAAATAAAAACATCACTAAACAGCACTATTTAGTTTGTGAAGTTGCATGGTTTAAGTGCGATCACTCTTGAATGGTGCAACTGTAAATACTAAATAGTGATATTTAGTTGTATTTAGTAAATCGCGCATGTGGCACGCAAATGATGTAACCAGGGTGTGAGATGGAGAGCACAAGAAAAGCAAGCTTAAGAACATGATTGCTTCTTCCATTATTTCTCTTATGCACTTTCCCAAATACTCTATTACTGAAACAATGTATAAACTTAAAAAAACATGCCAACTTGAACTGCAATAAATAATTGTGTGTAGTATTTACTTACGATTAATTCTGCCGTGAGCTCTGTATGTTCTTCGTCTCATGCTAGGAGCTTCGTTAACTTGAATGTGTTCAACAACAAGTGAGTCTACATCCAATCCCTGTTAATATTAAGAATAGTTCTGTTATAATATTGTCAATAACAATTGGTTAAGCATATCCAAAGAAGTGATCTATTTATGTCGGCTATCCAATGAAGATATACAGCATACCTTGAATTCAGCGTTACTTTCTGCATTTTTTAAGAGCTGAAGCAACAACTCAGCACTTTTCTTTGGCCAACGACCCTGTGATCCTGGTGCCTTGCGATTCTTAGCCTGTGATACAAGTGTAGTGGATAAGTTAGGCTGGACAAGGGACTGATCATGAGACAGTAAGATTTAATACAGTCATGTAAAATTATATTCAGTCCTTCCTACAATTAGAATGCAAATATAAATACCTGAGCTTTACGTCCAACACCKCCATTAAACCTCCTGAATGGAACAAGCTGCTTCTTGGCAACAACATCCTTCAGATAYCTCGTAGCTTTACGGACGTGCATGCCCTTGATAGCCATTCCTGTTTCTCTCGTGTTCTTGAAGTGAACACGGAGATTGGAACCCCGTGCCTTGCAGGATTTGGTGGGATTTTCGGGGTCAGTTGCGTAGCGAGTCATAGTGCTGGAGATAGTATTAGAAAAATGATTATTATGGATTGTAAGCGCGTTGGATGTTCGTGATTACATTGCCCTCAAAATCGATCGATTTTCCTTAATTATCATTAAAATATACATAGAATCTTATTCAGTGTGAGCTACAAAATCTCTGTAGACGTAGATTTAACTGAATTTGTGTAGCTTCAATACAAAATGGCAAAAACAATTAGTTTATTTCACTATTTGATTGTAGCGTTCAGACTAAATCCACTCAAGACCTCTTCACAAATCATCAGAAAAACATTCGTTACTTCTACACATCGTTCAAAATAAAAAGATAGAAATAGTCCTTATACACTATGTTTTTCCTCTGCCAACTGAGAGGTTTGTAACTTGAAGGATTATCAAGATATCCATGGATTATAAACAACAATTTATGTTCTTTTTACCTTCACTATGTCCTGAAGGAAAGAGGACATTACCCAGCAGGCTTTTCGCATAAACTCCACAAACGCATGCGCGTTGCACGATCCAATATGGCTGCCAGCTGAAGTCATGAGCTGAAGTTTTTACACTTTTTAGTTTTTAATATTTTTGTCGAAAAAGAGCAGTTTTTGAGCTTGCTTTTAACAATTGTGGATGAAGAATATCTGTATCTTTAAAAAACATGTTTTGGGGTAAGTTTTTTCTTGAAATATGATTTCAAATCCAAGAAATGCAAGGTCATGCATTTTTCGCACGTTGCTTGCAAGGTTCTTTTGTTGTATGCACATCACAAGAACATCTCATAAAGCACTTTGCTTACATGTAATTCTTTCCTTATAATTATATTAGATATTTCAAGAAATCTTATATTTTTGTGGGAAATGTAATGSCTACGAATATTTCTTTTTGAGAAGGAGTTATGCGTGGGGGAGWCATCTGAGGAGGGTTAGGGAGGCCCTGWTTTTGTTATGCGATTCTTTATACTATCCATAATTGCCTTATACCAAGACTACCTTATATTAAATTGAACAATATGTTACAGATTTAGCAGTACATTCTGCAAAACATGGCCAAATGGGTGTGGTTGTGAGGGGTGCATGTACCAACATTTTGGTGTGGGGGTCAAACGTACCTCTCCTTAAAATAAACACTGTAAAGGCTCTTACTTAAAATTTCCCATTCTATTACTTCATTTCATTCAATTTTTGCCTTTCAGGAATCACTCTAGATGTTGGAAAACGCTACACTCAGACTGTTGAGAAGTCATTTCATCTTTCAATGGCAGCCTTAGGTTTTAATAATCCCACTCCAGAGCCAGTCACTATAATGGTTGAAGTAGACAAGGCACAGTTTGCTCTTTGTACTCTTCAGCCTGGTAAAATCCCTCAGCAAACTTTGGACATTGCATTTACTGAAGGAGAGGAAATCACATTCTACACTGAAGGCAATAATGAAGTACATC